TGGTGCCAGTGACGAACAGGGCAACGACGTGGAGCCGTCCCTATTAACATCTATAGGATTGGTGGGACCCGCATGAAGGAGAAGAAGGACTCAGCGATCCTAGAAGTCTTCTTCTCTCTCTCGTTCTTTTCCTTTTCCTCCGTTGTAACCCGCGCTTTCCTTTGCCTATAAAAGGGGAAGTTGGGTGCCCCATGAGGGGAGGTGGATCCAGATCCGCACGAGACCGAACCACGAGATAAAAACACAAGAGCACGACACGAACACAAGGCTAAGCAGCGATCGAGCTCTCAGCACCCGTTCACTCCTTTCACTAGAGACTTGGGATCATTTCCCTATCTCACCTGTTTGTAACCCCTATTGCAAACCAAGTGCTGGTAACACGAGTAGCAACAAACTGGACGTAGGGACGTTCTGTCTAAAACAGTATAAACCCTTGTGTCCTCCGAGCACACCATCCGAGCCAGACGCACAAATACAAATTTACTCGTCGGTGGTTCGAAAACACTGGTAGAATGCAGTAACCTTTTCACAAAAAGGAAAAAGTACCCAAAAGTTTGTTTGACCAAAACAAAAGAACTAAAATTTGTTCATTTATTACAAGACCACCACTTCGTTTATTTAACTAACTCAATTTTTGGTGGATGATCTCATCCTCTATCTTGGCAGATAAGTCCTGGGCCAGAGGGACCACCTCCTTCTCGATGTCCTCCAGCTCGGTGCCGCGTCACATCACCCCCCCCTCGAAGATCGTGCGCACGCTACCTCTGGCCGCTCCCTCGAAGGACGCGCAGGATGACGGTTCACCCGATAGATGGGCTAAGAACCGTCGTAGGTAAGGACGGGATACGGGGCTAAAAACGCTCCCACGGCCCATTACGGCCCACGAGTTTGAAGTTAGCCCACCGATGGGTTCACAACCGCTCTAGGGCCCCTTTAGAGCGAGGGGTGGAAAAGGATGGGTCCGCTAGCGGCCAATACCCAAGCGCACGAGCGCTACGGGCATCCTGGCCCATGTTTGAGTCCTAGCCAGCGCGCTATCCATGGTTTTTCCTCGAAGAAAGGCAGCGAGCCCTTGGGACCAGAAGAACGAATCCAAGAACTATATGGACTGGCCATCAAGAATCTAGAGTCGATCACCAGCTGACCCATGTCGGACCCTCGCGAATGGGACACTGAGGCACCACTCGAACCAGCCCGTTAATAGCTAACCGAGCACCATGGTTCGTCCACCGAGGAAAATATGGCATGGCTCAACCCCTCCATTTTGTCGAGAAAATGCTTGAGGGAGAACGATTGCAAGACAAGGCGAACCCTCGATCGGACCTCGCAACGCTCGGGGGCTCAGGGGGAATTAGACTCTCGAAGAGACCGAATACGAGGTCACGTGACAATGGCGGATTGATCGGGTCCTAAGAGGGGCCTGAATTAAGGAAAATTCTCTTCGGTCCCCAACTACACGCCCTCGAAAGAAGTCCGGTCGCAATAGAAAGGGATCGTAACCCACCAAGGTGTCCCACGGGTAGTAGAAGATCGAAGCCCTCAAAGTCTCTCCATCCGAAAAAGACTACGAAGGAGTATCCTACTCCTCCGCAGGCTCGGGGACTACTGTCGGGTATCAGTATTAGGGATACCCGAAGAAGGGATCTGAGGACCGCGGACGACAACTCGCCTAAATAATCAAGGACGTATTTTAGTCTCGACCGACCCCGAAGGGACGGTTTCCGCCTCGCTAGACCCCTCGGGCACGGGCCCCATGTCGCCCAACCCCGAGGGTACGGGAGCCATCTCGCCCGACCCTAAGGGCACGGGCTCCGTCTCGCCCGACCCTGAGGGCGCGGGCTCCGTCTCGCCCGACGGGGTCCGTACCACCCCCAACCACTACGGATCCAAGCGTGTGGACCTGGGTCAAACCTCTGACACCAGAAGGGTGCGCGGGCACGCCTTGATGCGACCAATGGCCACGATAGGCCACGCCCGAGGGTTCGCATCGCCAATAGTGACGGGTGCGTGGGCGCTGTGGTGCCTAATCCCCGTATGGCCGCTGACAAGCACGTCGGTTCACCACGCCGTCCGCTGTGACGGGATGGGACACCACGACCAGCTGATGACATCGAGGCATAGCACCAGTGGTGAACAGGAGCCCGACGTGGAGCCGTCCCCGTCACCATCTATAGCATCGGCGGGACCCGCATGAAGGAGAAGAAGGACGCGGCGGTCCCAGAGGGCTTCTTCTCCTCGATTTTCTCCCTCTTTCTCTCTCTCTTCTCTTTTTTGATGTAACCTGCATCTTTCCCTTATTAGTGTATCATTTCGCTTCCACAGATACATCATTTTTAATTAAAAACCAAAAAAATACAGGTACCAAATAATTAAAATTCAATTTTTTTGGTCCATGACTAAATTAGTTTGTTTATACTTTTTTTACCCGTTTCCTAATATCTTTCTCTCTTGATAACATTTACACACATTGATTCCTTTGATTTATAAGAAACGAATAACCACACAAGCTTGAATCATTTGTTCTCTGATTGCGAAGGAATTGTTCAGCAGCTAGACAATATGTATAGTTCCCGTAGTTTGAGTGGACAAACTCGCCTCTCTTCTCCGTGCATCTCCACCAACCAAACATGCAATCCGAGGACGGCGAGTCTTAAAATTATTTGATTCACTTAAGGTTGGATTAAGCCCAATTAATAAATTTGATAAACATAGATAGCGATATCCGGGAATCATATAATAGACTATGCGTAGTATAAATAAAGAGGAAAACAAATAAATGAACAAAAACAGGCAATGTATGGCCAGTTGCCCACGTTGGCGCGCTAGAACAAACTGAACTCGGTCGTCGCACGTCATCATATATCTGAGTTGACAGCCCTGCAGTTGCGGCGGATCTCCCCGCGTCCGCCGGTGCGCACGCCGACGCGTCCCATCTTGCGCACGGCGTTCCCGAACTCCTGGAGGAAGTACCCGCGCCTGGTGAGGCGGTGGATCATGCCCGCGGCGCGGCGGTCGGACAGCAGCGCGGCGTCGGAGGCGAACAGGCCACGCCCCAGCTTGAGGTTGACGTAGTAGTGCGCGTCGAACCGCCCCGCCGGGCTCCCGGGGTCCATGGCCACCGCCGTGACGTTGTTGGACGAGGCGACGCGCGCTGGACCGCACCGCGCGCGGAGCTGCGCCGCGTACGCCGCGTTCAGCGTCGGGTCGGCGCCGCCGGAGAGGCGCGACGCGAAGGTGTTGCAGTGGGCCACGCCGATCGTGTGCGCGCCTGCATGCGTGAGTGCACAAGATTGATTAATTGTTTGTACTGTGCTGTACTGGTAGGTGAGTGTGATGATAGACGGAGCTCGGAGCAGAGCATGTTGCAGTTTGCGTGGGGACCACGCCCAGGGTTCGGTGGTTGAGCTACTATTTCGTGCGCGCGCGGTGGTCCAGGTAGTACTGTACACACTCGCGGCCGCGCAACCCAATCCAAAGCCTGGATATCGGCGAATGCGGTCCAACACTAGTGGCATTTGGTACGGTTTGTACTGATTAACTTATGGTAGTGTACCAAAAATGTTTTGCTAGAATTTTGAGGGTATCATGTAATCCCTTCCCATTCAAAAAAAAATGCAATTCTTATTTTAAACAAGTCAAACGAAATTTAAGGTTTGATTAAATCATATAAAAAATATTAAAATTCATGATACAAGATACGTATTATTGAATAATATACAAAGTGTGTTTTTCTTCTTCTTTTTTTGGCGTGTGGAAACACAACTACTGTATGATGGTATTCAGGTCATGGAACCTCAATCAATTAGCGCGTGTTCAATTCCACCCCAAATTCCCAAAAAGTGCTACAGTACCCATCACATCGAATGTTTGCGGCCCGTGCATGGAACATTAAATGTAGACGAAAAAAACTATTTGCACAGTTTGGGGGAAATTACGAGACGAACGTTTTGAGCCTAATTAGTCCATGATTGAACACTAATTGCTAATAAAAACGAAAGTGCTACAGTAGACCAAATTCCATCTTCCTGGAACTAAACATGCCATTAATGGTCATGAGCCCAATCAAACCCTCGCATTGTTGTTGCTGATGTTGTTGCTGTTGCAGTTGCAGTACAGCTTGCATCGCTGCTAGGATAGGATAGGATATGCTTGGGCAAATTAGCCTGTTCGGCTGGGTTAAAACGATCGTATACGAACGATCGTGAATTATTACTGCTGGCTGGTTTAGTGTGAAAAAAAATACTGTTTTGATTGAAAATTTATGATCGTTTACGACCAAACGAACAGGACGTAGGAGTGGCGGCCACTAGCATTTCTTGGCAGTTACTACCCGTTAGGGCGGCCGGTGGACGGGCTAGCTAGCTGCAGGAAGTGATCCATGCCATCATTGGTTGCTACTGTGTGTGTGGCTACTGAAGATTCTTCCATACATGGTGACACGTTTATTAGCCGTCCAAATCTTCCGTGCGTGGCTACATCACAGGCACAGGATCATCCATCGATGCACGGACTGGCATATAAAAGTAAATGAGTGCCTTAATTCCTGTGTTGCCCGCAGGCAGTCTCACCACACCATGGTTTATTTGATTAAGCTGGTTCGGCGATTCGGTCATCAACACTATCTTTTTTTTAATATATTGTGGTTTATTTATCTTAAGAATGGTTCAAGACTCCAATATCTGCCGAGCAAGTTATTATTGCTCACAATTGTAATTTTGAACGTACAATAAGTTCCTAATGTATATATAAGCTCCCTTTCCCTAAAGAAAAATGAAAATGACACTTTAAATAGTTTGGCTCGTGGGTGGGAGAGTACGTGGTTAGTACAAATGGCTCATCACCTTTTTCGTTAAAATCAAGGAGCAGTATCGAGTTTGCTTTTGACTAAATGGATAATATCGCCTAACTAACTCGTTCCGTACGTGCAGTCTTGATGACACATATGACATGCACCACGCATATTTGGGTCACCTACACTAGCAGTACTACTTCAGCTTCTTTTAGATGCCTGATCCTTCTGCAAATTAAGGCAAGCAAGCATGCAACAAATCTGGTGGCTTGCCTTGCGTCATTAAAAGAAAATCTAATCTTTTTGCGGCACGCACCCGGCTAATAAAATTCAGCCTGGCCGATGGATAAATTTGCAGCCTGTGTGACGAACTCCTGCTAGCAGATTTCAGTCCAATACTCAAATGGAAAATCTCGAACGGTACGACCTGATTTTTTTTATTACGCAGTCGAACTGTGAGCTAGCTAGTTACTGTAGCTACTAGCTTATCAGGAACGAACGGACGGCCACGCATGATCGGCGCACAATGCAAATGCTTGACCAGTCCGGCCCGGCCGGTGCACCGACACGCATGACGCATCACGAGCCGCTGCCCGCTAGCTGCAGGCGCCGTGGTGCGCGTGGTGGTTGTCCCATCGTTTTCGCCTCATCAGCTACACTTTGGCCGCGGCCACATGGCATCATCGTCGCATCCACCTGCAATGCAAGTCGCGTAGTATCTATCGATCACCACCACGGGCATGCGTACGTACGTGCACGGTCTCCAGGTCCGCCGTCGCCGTCGCGGCGCATGTGCCTGCATGCTGCTCCACGCAGTGTCGACCGGTCACGCCACGCACAGAGCACTGTTCCGGCTAACGCCCTCCTCTCGATTGGTAGCTAGATCAGTAGCTCTATGTACAGTGCATCTATACTAGCTAGCCGTAGTGACCACCGCACTGTACTCATCGTGTGTGTATTTTTTTATTTGTATATCAACATTTTAATTCGATCATCGATCTGATCTGTCAATCTGTGCAATCGTCGACACGTACAGTACAGTGAGCTAGGCAAACTACAGAGGTTGACGTTTGTGCGTGGATTTCTGGGCCTCCCGTGTGGTGCATTGGTATGCACGCAAGTTTCATCATCTTGCAGCTCTAGCTGTAGCTGGTCACTACACATAGCTACTCCTGCTTATAATTTGGAATTTTTACTAGGAGCAGTATACCGAACCGACGCGCGCGTCAGCGTCACGCACGTACCTGAGAGGATGACGAGGTCCTTGATGTCCAGGCCCTTGCTGCCGAAGTTGGCCTCCAGGGTGCTGAAGTTGTTCGACGGCGAGGGGAGGTTGGCCAGCGCCTCCGACGCCCGCGACACCACGCCGTCGCGCCGCCCCAGCTGCACGTCCCACAGGTCCCGCCCGAACTGCATATATGCAACCACACGCACTGGCAGTCAGCCAGCCATCCAGCAGCTCTAGGTAGCTAGAGTGTGCGTTTGCTCTGCTCTACAGTACAACGTACCTGGAACGAGACGGCGTCCCTGGCGGCGAGCGCCACGATGTCGGCGCAGGAGACGGTGCCGGGGCAGATGGCCTCCAGCACGGCCTTCACGGTGTCGATCACGTCGAAGCCGCCCAGCGACCCGTTCGGCGCCGCGTCCTTCTCCGCCGTGTTGCCCGCCGTCGAGTCGATCAGCACCGACGCGTCGCATCCCTACCATGCATCGTCATATCGGTGACCCACTTCAGTTCAGTTATACGTGCATGTATGCGCAGCAAGCGGCCGCCAACTGACGATAGATGATGGTTGCTTCTGTACCCTGACGAAGCAGTCGTGGAAGAAGAGGCGCAGCAGCTTGGCGGGGAGCGCGGCGGGGTCGGTGGCCACGCGCGCCACCACGATGTCGCGCACCACCGCCTCCGCCGCGGGGCAGCTGCGCCGGTAGAAGTGCGCCTTCAGCACCGCGCCGTCGCACCCGCCGCCGCCCGCGACCACCAGCATCGCCGCCACGACCGCCATGAATTGGACGGCGCCGAGCAGTGGCGACGTCGGCGGCAGCGTCGGCATCATGCTGCAGCTCCGAGCCATTGGACGACTGACTCGTGACGTGAGAGTGAGAGAGAGATAGCGATCGGGTGGATGTGCCGAGTGAGTGATGGAATGGAAGCCAAGTAGGCTATATAATTGCGGGGAGAGCGATTAGTTATTAGTACTCCGTATTTGTTAACACCGAATCAGTCAGCCCAAGCAAATGAGGTGAGGCCTAATTATAATTAATGGGGGAGGTCATCACATGCTACGTGCACAATTTCTTTTCAGCTTTTCTTTTCGTTGTCAATTTTCTTTTTATTATTATTATTTTGTTGGCACAAGGCCTAATTGATGACATCGATGCCACAGGGAAAAAAATCCAAGGTTGAATACTTCATTTTTCACAGCAAAAAGGCACACCAGAACGAGCAAAGGAAAACACACCCAGCTCTCAGACCGAAGCGCGAGAGAGATGGTTGGCATAACCGCATAAACATACAAATATCAATGTAGGTGCATGCCAAAGTGGTCGAGGAGCCGTAGCTTTCTCATTTTACTATTTCTGAATGCGAGCCGAGGCACACACAATGCGACTGCGATAGTAGGAGTTGTATGTATTTACCTACCGACAACATTACTAATTAAATAGTAATGCAGAGTGAGCTCTTAATTAATTAAGGTCATCTAAATTATTTCATTGGCGAGCGAGCCCGCCTGGACCCTCTGCACTGCAATGCAACGGCCTCAAGGAACAGGAACAGGAACAGGAACAGGAAGGGAAGTATCATCCATCACCGATTCATGTGTAGGTACGGACATGCATCTTCGATCGATCGAGTATGTGGTCTCTTTCGTGGCTGATGGATGGATCGATCAGGGTGCATGAAAAAGGAACAGTGCGGGATTGCCCCCGCACAGTAACAGTGTTCGACCGGAAGAACTGAGCCATCTATCATGTCGCCAGTTAATAGGACTCATCGATGAATTAGGTTACCGTTTGGTTTGAAGATAAGGAGAGACCGGATAATTTTATGGACCGAATAATTTTATGGACTTGCTAGCGTCCAGATGTTTCGGAGCGCTAGCGTCGGACGGACGGTGCCACGCTTGTAAGAAGCGGAGCCCACGCTATTTGTTTTTGCACGCCCTCACCGTGTGGACCCCACATCTGTTTTCCACCCTACCATAGTGCTCGCTCTGCTTCGCCTGAACACCGCACGCTTGGCCTCGCGCTGCACGCGGGAACGCCACGTGGGGTCCCAGTCACCCGCTGTGGTAGCTTGATCCCATTGCAACATGTGCAGATCTACTTTTGCAATATCGAGATGAAACGCTTGCAACATACATCCGAAACATCTAAAATATTTACAACATACGTCTGAAACACTTGCAAAAATATCAGGAAAAACTTGTAAACACATGTGTAGCCATTGCAGACATGTGCAACATCCAGATAAAACACTTGCAACATACGTACAAAATATCTAAAATACTTAAAACATACTCTTGCAACATGCATGTATATACAACATCCAGATCTACTTTTGCAACATATAGATAAAACACTTGCAACATACTTATGAAACAGATGAACATTTTAAACAAACTCTTGTAACATATGTGTATAGCCATTTCAACATGTGCAATATCCCAATGTTGCAACATTCATATGAAAACACTTGCAACATACCTCTGAAACATCTAAAATATTTAAAACATACGTTTACAACATGCGCATTCAACGTAATATGTCCTTGTTGCTTTAGAGAATGGAGGCTCCTTAGCATGTCGAGTTACGAGAAAAGCAACGTGAGGCACCAGCAAAACAACCAATGACACCGTTTGCAAGGGATGAACACATATCTCACTTTTTGAGGGGACAAGTTTATCTATGAATCTAGATATATATTCTCCCGCAAGGACAACTCTGCCTTATCAGTCCTCTAATCAAACACAACTTCATTTTTGTCTTACCACCCAACCAAACACAATTTTAGTATTTACTCCATCCGTTTCATCGTGTCAAATTGTAAGGCGTTTTGGTTTTTCTGTCTTACCTCCCAACTAGACACAACCTTAATATTTGCTCCATCCGTTTTAAATTATAAGACGTATTCAGACACAATATATATCTAAGTACATAGCAAAAGTAATATATCTAGAAAAGGTAAAATATCTTATAATTTGAAACAGAAGGAGTAGAATAGAGCATATATGTATGTATCGCATAACAAAGAGAACACACATCACAGACAAAGAGAGAGAGAGAGAGAGAGAGCACATGCAACAGAATAGCATGAATCAGTAAGAGCATCTCCAACAGGCTACCTAAACATACTATCTATCCTAAATTTGGTTAGTAGAGGTAAAAAAAATGTAATCCAGCTGACTACCTATCAGCCTACCTAAATTGGTTGGCCCAACAATTTTTTCTCCCACAACCTACATCTGGGCTAACAAATCTCACTACCTATTCCCCCCAACGTGCCTCCCTCTCTCCTCGCTCGAGCGCCGTCCGCCCCGCACGCACTGCCACCGACCGGTCTTCCTCCTCCACGCCGGCGTCCTAGCCATCTTCCCGTGAAAGACACAGCTGGCCCCCAGCCACCGGCCTGCCGCGCCGCCGCCTGCTCCTCTCTGCATCCATCCCTTCTCCTCGGCGCTCCCAGACAGGCTCGGGCTGCGCACACCCTCCTCGGATCCGGCTATCCCGACGACGGCGTGGCGTGATTTGCCCTCCCGGCAGCAGCGCTTCTCGGTCGGGCGGGCGTGGATGGCCACAAGATAGCATCTGCTGGGAGGCACGGCTCCCCGGCGGTGCTTTTCTCTCTCTACTTTGAAGCCCTGCTCACCGGAGCTGCCCTGCTCCACGGCCCGCCCGCCCTGATCGCCGGAGCTGCCCTGTGCCACGGCGTGGCGGCCCTGCTCGCCGGCGCGGCGTCCCTGCTCGCTGTCGCAGAGAACGAGAGAGGGGGAGGATGACATCATGGACCCACATGTCATACACTACTGGAATACATTTAGGTAGTCTCATTTGGGTAGTACGGCTAGAGTTAAAAGGCAAAAAAATAAGTAGTATAAAAATAGGTGGCTATCAAATAGACATTTAGGTAGCCTCATTTAAGTAGCACTGTTGGAGAGGCACTAGAAATTTTCATTATTTTTGCGAGGAAGTTGAGCGCATGTACTGAACTAAGGCATCGTTGGTGTGTTATTTTTACTTATTATACATCACTACAAAATCATAAAGTAGGAGCGCACTACTAATCTGTTACGGTGTTGCTACTGACGAGTGACAAAACACACAGCACGCCCCCCCTGATTTGTAATAAAAAGCAGTACGAGTGCTAGGATCGATCGATCATGGGCTCGATCGAGACAGCCTAACCGAAAACATCCGGGCATATTCGTCAGACAGCTTATTCGCTGGGTCGTATTCGACTTATAAGTCATAACTGAAAAATACTATGGACTGATTTGGTGTGAGAGAAAAATACTATTCATCGACTGAAAACAAGCCGAGCAAGCTCAAACGAACGAAGCGAGAGCCGCTCGTTGTACACGTCGCGCGGCTGCGGCATCCGCTCGTGCTGCAGCGGCAGCGGCTTGTTGGCGCCCTCCTCCTCCACCGCAGCTGCCTTCTCGGCCTCCCGCTTCTCTGTACTCCGCCTCCACGCGCTTCGACCCCGCAGCCGCGCCGTCGCCGGGACCGGGAGGATGCGGGTCCTCAGTTCTGCCCCTCGCCGCCGGCGCCTGCACCTCCATGGTGGTGTTCCGTGTTCAGTTGAGCGCTTCTGTGTGTGCAATTCACTAGCCAGCAGAGCCCGGTGGACCGTGGACGCCTGCGTCCCGTGACTCATTTAGTAGACCTCGTCACGCCACGCGTGCATCCACGCGGCAGCACCGATCTGAAGGTTACGGTAGTAGTACGATGGTTGGCTGGCTGCCTGCGTGCCACGTGCTGTGCCTACGTGTCCGGGTGAGCATTGAGACGGGTCAACTGGTCAGCTGATTCAAATTCAGCTTGGCACTTTCAGGTACCGTCACCGGTTATTAAATTACAGACCCACAGCTCCACATAATTCATTCATTTTTTTTTGGACGACACATCATGATTCATGATTTTTTTTTTTTAAAGGAGAAGGCTACTTTGCAAATACAATGATTTCCAGTTATCAGCCTGCTCGGCAGCAATGGCTGCAGCATTTCCATTCATTTGGTGTCAGCTGAGAAAATCGGTGTTCAGCCTGGACTCCTGAAATCCTACAAATCCACTACTTCAGTCGTCTTCGTTGGTCACATACCTCAACAGCGCAAATCACAAATGCTCGTCTGGTTTCTCTAGGCATGCACGGCATTCTGTATTTCTTCATGGAAATGATAGGTAAACCTGTAGCAATATTATTTCAATCTTACAAGTATCTTATTATCATATCGGTGAGTACAAATGGATAATCCTGTTACAGTCTAACCTTTTATTATCGTTGCAGTCTTGCAGATTGAGTGACAGGATAAATCATACTAGTACCATCCAACGTGCTTCTATTTAGGGTCCGAGCTTCAATTTTCAGGTCATGTTCACAGTTTACACTCAATTTGTAACAATCTATCGAAAGACCCAAAACTGAAAGGAAATATTCCACTAAGAAATTCAATTCAATTTGCAAAATAATGTTACGATGTCAACAAAATGGAACTGCCTGGTAATTTATTCCCACTCATGGTCCTACAACTTGATTAAATGCCCTAATGTACATCGTGTTGCCTGCGACTGAGCCACTGATGTAAGACAATGGTGATCTCTTGCCTAGCACAAGACAACAAGACCAGATCCGCATCACTACCAATGTGAAAGAAGGATGGGTCTCAAGGGGGTAATAAAAACCAAAAGACAGTTGCAACACCTTCGTGTCGTCACTTCTTTTGCTTCTTCCCAAGCTTCAGCTTTGTATACGATATTAGGATGAGGCTTTTACATGCACGCTATT